GTATATAAGTGTGTGCGAGTACATAATAATGTGTGTGTGTGTGTGTGTGTGTGTGTGTGTGTGTGTGTGTGTGTGTGTGAGTGACCACTATAAGAACAGCCCGCCGCAGGGTTAAGCCAGACAACCTCTCATAGTGGTGGCAATATAGTTCAGTTCTCTGTCCGGCTCTCTGTATCTCTCTCTCCGTGTCTCTCAGTCATTAATTCACTTCTCAGTCTGTGGGAAGGAGCAGAGTAAAAACTGTCCAGCATTACTGACCGCTTCCTTGCGAGTCCTTGTGTTTGAGAAAGGCTAGGTCTATTTTAAAAATTCCATATTACTTTATCGCCGGAAATAATAATTTTTTATTATTGATGCCAGTTGACTGCGGAGCGGAATTTTATTATTTCGTGTCATGATGGGTGTGCGAGACGATGTCCCACTTCGGCCACAGGATGGACAATCCATTCACAAATACAAGAAACTGTACATTCTGACTTGGATTTGTGTCATTGTTACCTCGCTTCTCGTGTCGTCTGCTGCCGTTGTTGTCATTGTTCAGACTGGGCGTGCGGACAGGGCTGACGTACTGACCGCTATAGACCAGGTGGCCACCAACATACCAGGCCAGTTGTCTGCCGTGCAGGAAAAGTTCGACAACCTGGAAGAGAAAGTGTCTAAGGTGGAAGATGTCGTCACAGCGCGAAACAAGCTTAAGCTCTGTTCCCACGGCAAAGGCTGTGAGCTGACCATTAGGCTTGAAGCAATGACCCACTGTTACAAATTGATCGAAGAGAGAACTACGTGGGCAGACGCGAGGAAGAAATGTGTATCTCTCGGTGGCTTCCTGGCCGAGATCCACAACCACGTCTCCCTGGAATACGTGAAACGGGTTGTTGACCCTGGCAAGGTAAGGCTCTGGCTCGGCGCCTCTGACCAAGGCAACGAGGGCACCTGGACGTGGGTCACTTCCAACAAACGTCTGTCCGTGGAAGACTGGAACACGACCGAGCCGAACAACAAGAGGAAAGAAGAGCACTGCCTGGAGATGGACCAAAGACGTGGGGACAAAGCATGGAACGACCAGTCGTGTGATGACAAGCTGGCATATATCTGTCAGAGAGACGGGGACAACTGTGAAGGCTTGCTGGAACAAGAGTAAAAGGAAACGTGTACCCCCCCCCCCCCC